AAGCACAGTCATTTTGAAGATAAGAAACAAAACTTCCAGTTTTTTCCAATTGTCCCTCCATTACAAAATTCAACATGGGGAATTTTGTAATGGAGGGACAGTGAGGGAATTGGGGGCCTTGGTACTGTGCTTACCTAACATGTGTGAAACACTAGATTCAATCTCTAGCACCACAAAGGAGGGAAAAAAAAATCAATGTGAAAGGGAGATAATCCTCCAGTGGTTCACCTAAAAACTTTCTACCTTCCTCAGCCATGAGAGCCTATATACCTCCAACTTACCCCCATTTCCCTTTAGCCAAGAATACACCATACCTGAGCTGAGCCATCTTCTCCATGCCCTCAGTACTGATGCGGTCCCTGGAAAGCAGGTTGCTGAGCTGTAGTTCCTGGTTGTCAGCCACCCGGAGAAGCCTATGTAGCTCCTGCTGCTGCATGTTCCTCACATGCTGCTCTATCTCCTCAGGACTCATGGTGCTGGCAGGGAGAGGGCTACACACATACTGTCCTGAAGGAGTCGGGTAGCCTGGGTAGTAAGGCCCTGGGTACACACCATTTGTAGGGCCTACTGGGTACTGCAAAGGGCTATACCCTGTATAGGGATACTGAGAGGCAGGGCCTGGTGTCCGGGGGTAATAATAGGGATTGTCAGAGTTTTGAAACTTATAGTAAGATGCCTGGGCCTGGCGTGAGTCCCATGATGTAGGGCTGACTTCATCATCAGTGTCTAAGAAATGTAACTGGGGTGTCTGGTTCTTTAGAGCAGGTTTCTGATCAGGATTATTTGGGTCCCATAGTCGGCGGGTGGTGCCTCCACGGCCCCAACTCCGAGATCCTTTACTACCAGATCCAAATAAAAGTCGAGGTCCTAAAGGCGTGGACTCTGGAGAACCTGCTGAATTGACAGATAGGGCAGTATGGGCAGGCAGGATCAAAATGCCACGACCACGACCCCGAAGTTCTTGTTTCAGGTTTTTGGAATCCTGCTTCTCAGAGCCTTTGCCCCCACTGCTCAAACCTCTGTCAGGTTTTATCTTATCCACATCCTCCCTGGCTGATCTCATCATGGGGGAATCTTTGTTCATGGTTTCTGCATCAAAAGTTACACGAAGTGTGCCTCGATTTTCTTTACCATTGCTTTTCTGTTCACCCTCCCCACGGCCAGACCAGTTTCTTTCTAAGTGTGTCTTCTTTTCTGAGCTCCTCCTGGGCCCCAATCCTTCAGACTCATCAATTCTATCCTCATCTAAAGAATCAGTTGAGGACATAGAAACTTGTTTCTTCAGTCGTGGCCTTTCCTTGGTCCTATCCTGGCGGCGACGGCGACATCCATTATCAGTCAGGCCAACTCCCTCAGTACTATTGTTGCTACCAGCTGAGCTGGTACTGCAAGTGCGATAGCGGTTCCTCCGTTTGTCTGAGCGGGAATAGCGCTTTGCAGAACCAGGCTTCCCCTGGGCCAGGTCATCATTCAGTTTCTTTGTCCCCTCCCCTTTTTCAATCCTTTTTCCTTTTTCTCCTTTTGCAGTCCTTACTCTGTCACTATTTTGGCTCTTTTCTGTCTCGGCTTTATCTGATTTATTCACAACTTCCTCTTTCACAACTTTTCCCCTACATTCATCTTCCTCTATTTTCAGCTGTTCTACCTGGTTGAGGATTTCCTCCTCATCCACCCGACTAGCAGAATCTTTGATACCAGTCTGCAAACGCCTTCCAGCCTGATAGATCTGCAAATCTGGTTTCTTTGTTCTCTTGATGATTCTTAGACTTCGATCTTCTTGCCCAGCAGTCCTAGGAAAAGTCTCCTGTCCTTGATTATTTTCTGGGTCTACAGGACCATTTTGCTGGTGGTTATCCAGTTCCTTGCAGACATCTTTAATGAGCTGTGTACCATTTCCAACAGCACAAGCATTGTTATCATTAACAATTTCATCTTTAAATTCCTCACTCCCAGAGGGCTCCTTGATTTTAGGTCTGTTCCTTAGTCGGGAAAGACCAGGCTTATAGATTTCCAGATCTGGACGCCTGTTATCTTTGCGCTGCCTGGGCTCCTTTAATTCCTTCATGTTTTCTGTTATATTGGGGAAAGGGTTGAAGAAGAAAAGGCAAAAGAAAAGAATAAAGGAGGAGGGAGAGGGAAAACTGTCATTCCGATTAACTAACAGAAAAATTGAGCAAGCATACATATCTCCAAATGCTAATTTTGGTGGACAGGGAAGAATACTTCTGCAAAAGCAGAAATTTGGGGTTTACAGTATTTGTTCAGCAACTGCCAAGGGTAAGAATTGAAATGGGTTAGGAAGTGGGAAGGAAAAAAACTTGTATTTTCTTGGATTGCCCAAGACATATTCAGATTCAGATTTCTAAGACCCCAAACTACCTCATATTATTTGAAAAGAAGATCTCTTAACAATTTCAGCATTAAACTATTGTGTTTATAGAGCCCTTGAAACTATCAGTCTTTTCTTCTGCCTCTAATATTTTTCCAGGGTAGCTAAGTACTTTTAATTTATTAGTAGAGAAATAGAAGTATAATTCAGTAATACAGCTCTTGCCTAGCCTATGTGAAGAGTAAAGCTCTGGGTTTTATTCCCCCCCTGAAAAAAATTTAAAAACACATTTTAGTAGAGAAAAATAAAAAGGAGAAAAGGAGTAATATAACAGTTCAGGACTGAACATCTCTGGAGAAAAAATAATTGCAACTCAAGTCTGTGAACTTGACCAGGATCTTTTACTTTAGCATACCAATTACCTTCACATACCTTCTACTGAAACAAACAAGAAGCAGTTCCCTTTATATTCTTCAACTTGACTTATCCTCACCAACTCTCTAACAGCAGCCAGAAGAGTCATTTCAAGAAAATACTGCTCAAACTATCATCATTAGAATACTGAGACTAACTGCTACTGTGATGATGGAATATGAGAAGAAAAAGTTCCATAGAAGAGCTTCCCTGGACACTGGGAGAAGGATTGTGACATGCTCTCAAAATATCAAGGACTGTGGCATTCAAGAATAAGAAAACAGGGCTGGAGTTGTGGCTCAGTGGCAGAGCACTCGCCTAGCATATGTAAGGCACTGGGTTTGATTCTCAGGTCCATATAAAAACAATAGTGTCTATCTACAACTAAAAAAAATATTTTTAATAAAGTAAGAGAACAGAGGTAGGCACAGCAGCACACAGCACACAGTCATAATCCCATGACTCAGGAAACTGAGGCAAGAGAATAGCAAATTCAAAGCCAGCTTCAGCAATTTAGGGAGCCCCTGTATCAAAATAAATGAAAAGGACTGGAATGTAGCTCAGTAGTAAAGCACCCTGGGTTCAACACCCAGTACCAAAAGAAAAAAAATAAGAATATGGGACTTTAAAAACTACTCTCCAGACTTTATGAATTTTCTAAACAGACAGATAAACAAGTATGCTTTTCTTTAATGTCTGTTACTTTTATTTATTAAGGGGGAGACTATTACAAATAGCCACTAAACATTTCAGTGGAAAAGTGACGGAATTAGTGAGATTATCAAGTACTTAAAATGGAATGTTATGTAAAATCCTAGTCTTGTCTTGTACTAGAAACAAAAATGCAAACAAGATCATAACAGGTATCATATATTCAAGCATTTACACCTACTTTTGTGGATTTAACAAAATAGAAAAAAGAAACTTAAGTTTATGATACCACTTTGGTATTTTCAAAAGTTTATTTATTTATTTTGGTACTGGGGATTGAACTGAACCCAGGGACTTTACCACTAAACTCCATCCCCAGTCCTCTTTATTTTTATTTTGAGACAGGATCTGGCTAAGTTGCTGAGGCTGGCCTGGAATTGTGTCCTCTTCCCTCAGACTCCAGAGTCACTGGGATTTTACAGGCATGCAATCGGTGCTCAACCAGCTGATATTTTCAGAAATTTAAAAGATTCTCCATCAAGTACGAACAAAGGTATCACAGAACACTCAGTCATCTTTGTAACTTAGGTAGGGATGAGGGAAAGGGAAAGGAGTTACTGCTACTTTCCAGAACAGAGGGAGAAAACAGCGTGGATAAACCAATTCAACTGACAAACGAAAACCAAGCCTTGAAAAGGTATCTAACCCAGCTACCACCCTACAAAACTCCACCGCCCAACAGAGACACAAGAACATTTCTTGGAGCTTTTCTGATGTGGCTAGAGACTTCAAATTAACTGGCATTTTGAATATTCTGATAAAAACTGCTCCCACACAACCCAAGGCCAAACCAGAACAGAATCAACTCTGCTCTCTGCGAGGTCCTGGATCCCTCGCAGCTTTCAGAAGCTTGCCTAGGGAAGAAAAGTTCAGCAGAAAAGTCTCAGTGTGTTTAAACCTTTCCCCTCAATTTTTCCAACTCCTTCCCTCCGACGCCAAACAGATGGAGAGGACAAGCTAGCGAAGGATTCCTTCGGGAACGCTACACACCGGGGCCTCCACCAGACCTCAGCACCCACTCCTATTCGCGTATCCTGACAACTAGGAATCCACCGGCTCATCTGAGGGAGCTGGGGCAAAGGGAAACAGTCACCTTCGTGGTGAGAAAGAGGGTGGAGGCAGGAACTCTGACTGGGCTCTCCCGGAGCTGGCCGGAGCTGAAGGAGCCCGACCGTGAGCCTGGCAGGGCAGCTAGGGGCCCGCCCGCGGCCCCCGCCCCCACTGTTGGGGGAAGGGGCGGGGGCTCCCGAGCTCCACGGACTGGGCGGGGAGGAGGAGGAGGAGGAAGAGGAGGCGAGGGAGGCGGGGCGGGCAGGCCCGGCCCAGGAGCTGGGCGGTGCGACTCACCTCTGCTCCCGGCCTGCGGAGCCAGAGTGGCCAAGATCCCTCGCAGCTCCGACGCGGAGATCCGTACACGCTCCAACCCCTCCGCCATCTTCGCGGCTGCTGCTACAGCTGCAGCGACTCCGCCACCGCCGCGCGCAGCCAGGAAACCACGACGGACCGGCGGCGCGCGCTCACCCACTCCCACCCGTTTCCCCGCCCCCTCCCGCCTGTCCTCCTTAACGACGGTGGCCGCACTGGGAGGAAAAGCGCTGGACGCGCGTTCGAAAGGGGCAGTGCCTTAAAACAAGCCAGAGCTAGAGAGGCGGGCGCTGCGCGTGCGCAGAGGTGTAGTCGGGGGAAGGTGTGCTGAGGCTGGAGGTGAAGGCTCTGCGGCGGTGAGGTGAGGAGTGGCGTGGCCTGGCTTCGGCAGGCCAGGTTGGCGTTCGCGGCGGTGGCTGCCAGTGCTGCTGTGGTGGCCACTGAGGACATTGGTGCTGGTCTGGGGCTCGGGTGGTCGGAGATACCCCACAATTCGGCCTTCTCCAATCATCTTAGTCCAGAGTCTCCCGTCACAGGCCTGGACTGTACCCCACGCATTTGTTTGGGGGCCTTAAAGATAAGAGCAGTTGCCGGGGCGGTGGCGCACGCCTGTAATCCCAGCAGCTTGGGAGGCTGAAGCAGGAGGATGGCGAGTTCAAAGCCAGCCTCAAGAATAGCGAGGCGCTAAACAATTCAGTGAGACTCTGTCTCTAAATAAAATTCAAAAGAGGGCTGGGGATGTGGCTCAGTGGGTCGAGTGCCACTGAATTCAATCCCTAGTACCAGAAAGGAAAAAAAAAAAAAAAGATAAGAATAGTAATGATTTTGCCCATTTTTAACATAAGGAAACTGAATCCCAGACAACTGAAGAAGTAAATTGTCTAGGGTGTGATAACTGTTGCTACTGGATATCAGCCTTTTTCTTTATGCCAAAACTACATCCCAAACATCCTTACTTTATTTATTTATATATTGGGGGGGGGGGGGGTACCGGGGATTGAACCTAGGCCTTGTGCATGCAAGGCAAGCAAGCACTCTACCAACTAAGCTATATCCCCCAGCCCACCATCCTTACTTTAATACATACATGTGTGTGTGTGTGGTTGCATGCGTATGTATATAGATATCCACACATAGTTGGCTCTTGCGGAGAGGAGTAGTTATGTGGAAGATAGTAAACGTGGAGGTATTAAAACTCCCAAAATTCGATTTGGGAATTTCTATGTCGCTAGGGATTCTTGGGAAGAAAAAAATCACTTCTTTAGATCCCAGGTTGATTTTGTTGTTGTTTTTCCATCTTTAAAATTTAACTAGACCAGAAGACTGGTACTAACCTTTTGACCATGAACCTGTTGTTGTGTAGGGAACTCCCTCCTCCAAGGCTGCTTACCTCCACAAGTTGCTCCTTCTTGTTCCCACACAGTCCATTGGACCCTAAACTCTCAAAAGAATAAGTTACCAATTATTCCATAGTCTGAGCCTAAAAGATTTGAACAACCTGACAGAACTCATTAAATTCCTATTGTGTGACAGACACTTCACCATCAAAATGTGAAGCCTAAGAAGAAAGTCAATAAATATGTGATAAGGTTCAACAGTTCAGCTGGCCTTGGTGGCACTTGCATGTAATCCCAACAACTTTGGAGGTGAGTGCTTTACCACTGAGCTACATCCCTAGCCCCCATCATTTAAAAAAAAAAGAAAGAAAGAAAGAAAGAAAGAAAAATAATTTGAAACAAGAAACCTTTATTAGGACAAACAAGATGACGAATTTAATGCAACAGTGTTACTGAACTGCAGGTTGGATATGCCAAAAGTTTTTACTGGCAGACAAGCCATGAAATCTGCCTGGATTTCAGCTGGCTGGATTCCCTGCCAGCAAAAGAAATTAGCAAATGTTTGCTTAACAAAACCAACTCAATGGGGCCCAGGTTGTGGCCCAGTGGCAGAGCACTTGCCTTGGCACATGTGACACACTGGGTTCCATCCTTAACACTACATAAAAATAAATAAACAAAATATTGTGTCCATGTATAACTAAAAAAAATATTTTAAAAAAACTCAAGAAAATTTACCAGAACTCAAGAAAGTAAAGATAATATATATAGGGGCTGGGGATGTGGCTCAAGCAGTAGCGCACTCGCCTGGCATGCGTGCAGCCAGGGTTTGATCCTCAGCACCACATACAAACAAAGATGTTGTGTCCGCCAAAAACTAGAAAATAAATATTAAAATTCTCTCTCTTTAAAAAAAAATGAATAAACCTTTAAAGAAAAAAAAAGAGATAATATATATATATAACTGAATCCAGTATGGTTGCACCTGCCTGTAATCCTAGTGACTAGAGAGGCTAAGGTGGAAAGATCAAAAGTTCAAGGCCAACCTGAACAATTTAGACTCTGTCTCAAAATAAAAAATAGAATAAATGGGTTGGGGATGTAGCTCAGTGATAGAGCACCCCTGTTCGATCCCCAATACAAATAAATAATAAATAAATAAATACAACTATGAGAAGATAGAAAACCTAGAAAATGGGTCCAAAAAACTAAATATGAGTTCCAAAAGGCAATAATTGAGGCAGAGCAATAATAGTCAGTGAAAGAAAATCTACTCAATTGATGGGGATTTTTTGAACTTTCAGATTTAAAGAATTCATGAAATAGGTAAAAACAAAAGACAAATATGTTTAATTGAAAACTTCTGAGTTTTCCATGTACTGACATGGAACAGTCTTTGAGATGTATTGTTTAAAAAAAAAAAAAAAGATGTACTGTTAGTTGCTTTTCCTTTAAAAAGTTGTTTTCAGCTGGGCTTGGTGGCACACATCTATGCCTGTAATCCCAGCTACTGGAGAAGCTAAGGCAGGAGGATCACAAGTCTGATACCAGATTCAGCAACTTAGTGAGACCCTGTCTCAAAAATAAATAAAAAAAAAATTGGGCTTTGATGTAGCTCAGTGATAGAGCATCCCTGGGGAGTAACACACACACACACACACACACACACACACACGTTATATATACAGTTGATTCTGTGTGCCACAAAATCATCTGTTGTATTTGTAAATTTCTACATGAATATGTCAAAGAGGCGTGGAAAAATGCGTACCAACATTTCCAAGTAGTTGCCTTTGTGGAAGAGGGGATTTGATGGTAGAGAGTGAAGGCTCTGTATACTGCTGTAATGTTTTAATTTTTGTATTTTCTTTCGCAGTGCCAGGGATTAGACTCAGGACTTCCCTGATATAGGCAAGCCCTCTACCACTGAGCTATATTCTAAAACTCTGAATTCTTAAAATAGGGATTTGGTCACATAATATGTGGTTAACTGGGGGAAAAAAAAAGATGAATTTGGATAATGGAGGAGTGAGGAGTTCAGTTTTCAAAAATAAATAAATACAAGTCACATTTGCTGAGTACAAAGTAATAAAATTAGAAATAAATAACCAAAATTAAACAAAAAATTCTAACCACTTGGGCTGGGAATACAGCTCAGTTGGTAGAGTGCTTGCCTCTCATGCACAAGGCCCTGGGTTCGACCACCAGCACCACCAAAAAAAAAAAAAAAAAATTCTAACCACTTGTAATTTTTTCCCCTTTTTTTTTTTTTTTTTTACTGGGGATTGAACACAGAGGCACTTTGGCACTTTGCCACTGAGATACTTCCCCAGCCCTTTTTAAATTTTTTAATATATTTATTTATTTGGTTTTCTTGGGGGGGGGGGCGGGGGTACTAGGGATTGAACTCAGGGGCACTTGACCACTGAGCCACATCTCCAGCCCTATTTTGTATTTCATTTAGAGACAAGGTCCATGAGTTGCTAAGCGCCTTGCCATTGCTGAGTCTGGCTTTGAAGAACCCAAGATCCTCCTGCCTCAGCTCCCGAGCCACTGGGCTTAGACATGTACCACCACACCCACCTGTTTTTTATTTTTGAGATAGGGTCTTGCAAAGTTGCTGAGACTGACCTCAAACTTGCAATCCTCATGCCTCATCCTCCTGAGTTGCTGTGATTACAGGCTAGTACCACCAGTAGCTACTTATAATTTCATAAGTCATGGGTCAAAAAAGAAAACAAACAGGTCTAGGGTTGTGGCTCAGCAGTAGAACAGCACGCTCGAGGCCCAGGGTTTGATCCTCAGCACCACATAAAAATAAAATAAATAAAAGAAAAAAGAAAACAAAACAAAGAGTTGGGGATATTACCCAATGATACAGCACTTGCCTAACATGTTGCCCTGGGTTCCATCCCCAGCACTGGGAAAAAAAAGTAATGGATTCTCTAGAAATTAAGATAAAAAAATATATATTGCCAGATAGAATCCATGATATATCATTAAAACAGTAATCAGGAAAATATGTATCCTTAAATCCTTTTAGTATTTAAAAAATGAAATTAATTAGGTAAGCATTCAACAAATGTAAAAAAAGATAATAAAGGAAAATATGAGGAAAAGCATAAAGATAAAATCAGAAATTGATAAGAAAAAAACAGTATTTTTATATTGAAAAAAATGTTACTTGACAGATAGCACTTCTGAATTAATATAAAGAAATGACAATAGCTGGGCTTCCTGACACATACCTGTAATCCCAGCAGCCCAAGAGGATTGCTAGTTCAAAGCCAGCCTCAGGAATTTAGTGAGGTCCTAAGCCACTTAGAGAAACCTGTCTCAAAATAAAAAAAGGGCTGGGGATGTGGCTCAGTTGTTAAGCACCCCTGTGTTCAATCCCTGATTCCAAAAAACAACAACAACAAAAAGACTTTGTTGAACCTATACATTCTGAGGGGATTCATTGTCCTCAGGCTGGTAATCATAACAAAAAAACAGTTCTTGATAATAAATGAAAAACTCGGGCTGGGGCTGTAGGTCAGGGGCAGAGCGCTTGCCAAGCATGCGTGAGGCACTGGGTTCAATCCTCAGCACCGCATAAAAATAAACAAAATAAAGGCTTGCTGTCCATTTACTACAAAAAAAAATTTTTTTAATAAATTGAAGAACTCATTCTTCAGAAATAGACACTAAAGTGGACACATTTTTGACAAAAAAGAAAGAAAGGACATCTTAAATGGCTTATGAGGAACTGAAATTTAGCTCATTGAATCTCTGGTTTTCCTCTCAAATACTTGTTTCTTCACCAGTATTAAATCTCATTAATATATTACCATCAAAGTCAAAATCCTAGAGTTATTCTTGACACCTCTATCTCCCTCATTTGGTCCACAAGCAGTATATGTCTCTTCTATGTCTATAATGATCATATATGGAATCATCTCCCCAGCTTCTCCCCTTTTCTCTTGAAAACTCCCCTTTACTTCCACTCAAACTTTTTTTTTCCTTTTTTGTCTTTCTCATTGTTCTTCTTTCTTTCTCCCATCACTTCTTCTTTTACTGATCTTTTCCCAGGGATGCATAGATTTGAGACAGTCATACTCTTTTTTTTTTTTTTAATATTTATTTTTTTAGTTGTAGTTGAACCTTTATTTCACTTGTTTATTTATTTATTTTTTTTATGTGGTGCTGAGGATCGAACCCAGGGTCTCGCACGGAACCCAGGGTCTCGCACGGATGAGGCGAGTACTCTACCACTGAGCCACAACCTCACTATCATCAACAGGTGCTTTCTCATTTCATCTTTTGCTCTTCATTCCAATTCCCACAAATGTTCCATCCCTTCTCTCTTAGGTAGTAATTCTAATGTGTTTTAATATGTGTCTTTAAATATACATGTATCTTTGAATAATATAAAATGTTGTATGTATGTAAGTGTTTTAAATGTACATAATTGATATTGTGTTATGGATTTCATTATGTTTCTTTTTCATGTTTCTATAAATATTTCTGACTATTGCATAGTATTGTCTTAAACGACCTCACACCCTTGGCCACTGATTGTGGACCAAGATGGACCAGTCAAAGTCCTTACCCAGAATTTTTTGAACTGAAACTGAGAAAGAAAATCCCTCTCCAGTGTGGAAGCCATAAAATGTAAAACACAGGAGCTGTCAGCAGCCAAGTGTCCTACCATATGGAACCAGCTGGTCTGCAGTGAAAAAGAAGCCAACATGCAAAAAGCAGCAGAGGTGAGAATCAGAGAGTCCTAGAAGCCATTAAGTCCCTGGTTCCAGTTACTCCTGAAGCTTTATATATGCCTGTCTGCTTCCATGGTTTGCTCAACTTTTCTTGGATTCAGTGAGCCAGTAAATCTTGACAACCTCATCTTTAGTCTAAACTAGGTCAAATTGGGGTTCTATCATTTGCAACTAAGAGACCCAACTAATTCAAACTCCAAAGTCTTTTTATTTTTCCACAGTACCGTTTAATTAAAAGTAGTGAAAAAACACAAAATTTATAATTTTGACAACTTTTAAGTATATAGTTCTTTACTTAAATACATTCCGATTATTGTGCAACCAGTCTCCAAAATACTGTACCCATTAAACCTCTCCTCATTTTCCCAACCCCCAACCCCTGGCAACCACCCTTCCTTCCGTCTACAAATTTGACTTCTTTTGGTACCTCATATAAGTGGAATCATGTAGCAGTTGTCTTTTTGTGATTGGCTCATTTCACTTAGTCTAATGTCCTCAACATTCATCCATGTTAATAGCAGATATCAAAATTTCTTCCTTTTAAGGCCAAATAATATTCCATTGTGGGCTAGGATTGTAGCTCAGTGGTGGAGTGCTTGCCTAGCATGTGTGAGGCCCTGGGTTTGATTCTCAGCAAATAAAGGTCCATCAACAACTAAAAAAAATATTTAAAAAATAATAATATTCCATTGTGTATATATACCACATTATGTTTAGTCTTTTGTCAGCGTTTAGCAACTGTTGCTTCCACCTTTTGGTTACGAACATGGGTGTATAAATATCTGAGACCCTGCTTTTGATTCTTTTGGGTCTACATCTAGGATTGGGTTCTGGGTTTGTCTTTTTATTTTTTATTTTACTTTTTGTGGTATTGGGGGTTGAACTTAGAAGCCATTTACCAATGAGCCAAAACCCCAGTTCTTTTTACTTTGAGTTATTTGTAAGTTACTGAGGATGACCTTAAACTCTTAATCACAGAATTGTACCACTGTGTGCCAGGCTGTTTACTTTTTTACAGGAGCCTCCCATCCTAATGGGTGTGAGGTAGTAACCTTATTGTGGTTTTAATTTGCCTTTACCTGACGATTAGTGATTCTGAGCACTTTTTCATTTGCTTATTGGCCATTTGTAAATTCTCCTTGGAAAAATTTTTATTGAAGTTCTTTAGCCATTTTAATTGGGTTTGTTTCCAGTATCTTGGGGGTTTTTTGTTTTTACACTTTAGCCATCTAGGCCCCCTTTATCCTTCATATAGAGAACCAAAATACCCCTTCATTGGACTCCCTGATTCAACTCTTGTCCCCTTCCTTTTTATTCACCATAACATAGCCAGTTAGTTTTCTAAAACTAACTGGGCTTGGTGGTGCACACCTATCATATTTATTTTTTACATTATTTATTATACATCTGCCACAAGGATAGTAAGCTTCATGAGGGCAGGAACAAGCCTATTTTTCTAACACTATCTCCAGACCAAATAATAGCTAATATATAGAGGGTACTAAATATTTATTGATTAAAAAAAATGAATGAGCTGGGGTTGTGGCTCAGCGGTAGAGCACTCACCTAGCACGTGCGAGGCCCTGGGTTCGATCCTCAGCACCACATAAAAATAAAGATATTGTGCCCATCTACAACTAAAAAATAAAATATTAAAAAAACTCAGAGATTAGTGGCTGTTTTGAAACTTTATACTAATAAATTTGAAAATTTAAGGTCAATTGTTTTGTCACAAAATTTTATTATTTCTGGGTTGATTAAACTGTACATGTAATCCCAGCTATGTGGGAGGTGCAGGCAAGAGGATCATAAATTCAAGGCCATCTGGACAACTTAACAAGACCCTGGTTAAAATAAAACAAACAATATTTTTTAAAGGGTTGGGGCTGGGCACAGTGGTTTATACCTATAATCCCAGCAGCTCAGAAGGCTAAGACAGGAGGATTCCAAGTTCAACACCAGCCTCAGCAGTTTAGCAATTTGCCCAGACCCTGCCACAAAATAAATAAATTAAAAGGGCTGGGGGTGGGGGTGGAGCTGGGGTTGTGGCTCAGTGACACAGTGCTTGCCTCTCATATGTGAGGCACTGGGTTCCATCCTCAGCACCACGTAAAAATAATAAAGATATTGTGCCCATGTATAACTAAAAATACATTTAAAAAGTGGGGGGAGGCTAGGTATGTGGCTCAGTGATAAAGCTCCCCTGGGTCCAATCCCTGGTACCCAAAAACAACCACCAAACAATGGGGAAGGAAACAGCTGCACATTATTTACCTAAAGCCATCGTTATTGGCCTGTCAGTTGGTGACTCAAGATGGTCCACTTTGAATCCCAAGACTCAATAGGAAGAAATACTCTTCTTTTTTAATTGTTTGTTTTTAGGGTCTGGGGAGGGTTGTATGTTTTTTGTTTTGTGGTACTGGGGATTGAACCCAGGGATCTCACATGCTGGGCAAGCACTCTACCACTAAGCTGCATCCCCAGCCCTTCAGCAGCTAAGAGCTCCTGGATCCCTGTGAAAGCTAAGAATGAAGTCAGCTTAGAAAAGTGAGATCTGAAAAAAAAAAAAAAGAAAAGAAAAGTGAGATCTGAAAGCTAAAGTGCAATCTTTTTTTTTTTTTTGAGTCAGGGTCTCACTAAGTTGCCAAGGCTAACCTCAAACTTATCCGTCCTCCTGTCTCATCCTCATTAGTAGCTAAGATTACAGGTATGTGCCACCACCAACCCACAAGCCCAGTCTTGTTTATTTTTAACTTTGAAATAGGGTGTGGCTAAGTTGCAAAGGGCTTTACTATTTGTTGAGGCTGGCCTGGAACCTGTAATCCTCAAGCCTCTCAAGTCACTGGGATTACAGGTATGGTCCACTGTGCTCAGCTATAACCATGTCTTAAAAGTATTGTATGACCAACTATGTTAAACCACATCTGAAGCTAGGAAGAAGAAAAATATATATAAGGATGAGGAGGTATCAACTACAAAACTCAGTCTAACGAGGTAATCTAGTCAAGTGGCCTATTATGTAATAAATGTACAAAAGTTATTAGTATGTAATCATCAGCAAGTAATTTTGAAATCTAATGGGAAAAATACCTCAAAAGCAACAAAATTACATTGTACTTAGGAATAAATTTAATCAGATACATACAAGACATGTAACTATGAAAACTCTTGAGAAATCTAAAGCACCTCAGCACCACGTACAAATAAAGATGTTGTGTCCGCCGAAAACTAAAAAATAAATATTAAAATTCTCTAAAAAAAAAAAATTAAAGTTGACAGAAGAGAGCCAGGTACACTTGTAATCTCAGTTAAATCAGGAGGCTGAGATAGGAGAGTTGTAAATTTGAAGCCAACCTGGGCAATTTAAGAAGACTCTTTCTCAAAATAAAAAGGGCTGGGGGATAGGGTTATAGCTCAGTGGTAGAGTGCTTGCCTAGCACATGTGAGGCACTGAGTTCAATTCTCAGCACCACATAAAAATAAATATTGTGTCCATCTACAACTAAAAAAAATACTTTAAAAAGGGGGGGTGGTTTAGGAGTCCCTGCGCATTTGCGCACACCTGTAATCCTAGCAGCTCTTGAGTTCAAAGCCAGCCTCAGCAATTTAGAGAAGCCCTAAGCAACTCAGTGAGACCCTGTCTCTAATAAAATACAAAATATGGCTAGGGATGTGGCTCAGTGATTGAATGCCCTTAGTTCAACCCCTGGTACCTGCTCCTTCCCCCCAAAAAAAGGGCTAGGGATGTAGCTAAAATGGTAGAGTACCTGCAGGTTCAATCTCCACTATCACAAAAAATAAAAAGATTTGACTAGGCTGGGACTGTAGATTAGTGACAGAGCACTTGCCTAGCATGTGTGAGGCACTGGGTTCAATCCTTAGCACCACATATAAATAAATAAAGGGGGCTAGGGTTACAGCTTAGTGGTAATTGCCTAGCACATGTGAGGCACTGGGTTCAATCCTCAACACTACATATAAATAAAGGCATTGTATCCATCTACAACAAAAATTATTTTTTAAAAAGTAAAGGAGTTCTATCCATCTACACCTACCAAAAAAAATTTTTTTAAAGGATTTACTAAAGAACAACTTGCCAGTAAATATACAGAAAAATGTTCATTCACAGAAATTAATGTAAATTAAAACTACTAGACATTTAAATTGACAGATAAAATGATATAGCAAGGATGAAGGAACATGGACATTCTTAACTGCTGTCGGAAGTATAAATTAATGTGCTGTACAGCCCTTCTGGATATCAGTTTGGCAGTTAAGTATCAAGTGTCTTATAAGACTGACACACTACCTGCTGCACTTCAAGTGAATTAAATTTGTGCAGGCCTTTTGATGCAGAAAGCTATTTAGTGAAATCTACTCTAAAGATGTATTGAAGTACAGAAACATCTCTAAACATTCAAATAAGAGTTACGTAAAAGTTAAATTATGGTGTTTTTTGTTTTCCAGCACTGGGGATTGAACCCAGGGATGCTTTACCACTGAGCTACATCCCAGCCTTTTTTTTTATTTTTTTGAGAGAGAGTCTCACTAAATTGCCCAAGCTACCCTTGAATTTGCAGTCCTGCCTCAGCCATCCAAACTTCTGGGATTACAGGCATAAGCCGCCTCACCTAGCTAAAGTATGGTATTTTTGTGAAAGGAATATAATGAAGTCATTTTAATGTAGCTGGGTGTGGTGGCATGCACCTGTTGTCCCAGCATTCAGGAGGTTGAGGTGGAAGACTCACTTGAGTCTAGGAGTTGGAACCAGCCTGGTCAACATAGTAAGGCACCATCTCAGAGAGAGGGAAAAAAAAAGTGGGGCTGGGCACAAATATGTCTCTTGATAAGATACAGATATTCATAATATTGTTTGCAAGTATTCAACTGAGACCAATCTCTCAGTCTCAGTGAATCAGCCAAGAGGAGAGTTTTTTTTTTATTTTAACATAGAAATAATGTATATTAGCACATCTACATATAATTACTTTCTGTAGAATTGGAGATACACCATATAAGGTATACATTTCTGTTTGTGCAGGACTATCACATGCTTTTAGGGATTTTCACACTACTCAAAATATGCACATATCCCATTATTTGTTATTCATTTTCTTATTGATAGACACTTTATACTTTTCTGCTTTCTGCTATTATAAATAATAGTGCAATAATATTCTTATAATTTTGCATTTATGTATATTTATGAGTATTTTTGTAGATAGACCAAAGTATGCACATTTTCAATTTTGACAGATCACTGTCAACTTGTCAGCCTCAAAAAGCTGTACCAATTTATACTTCCATCAAGTACATGTGAAAGCACCAATTTTGCTAAACTATCTTTGCTATTGAAATTTATCACGTTTTCTTTCCAGTTCCATAATCTAATTAATGAAAATTGAATCTTATGATCACATTTATTTGCACTACTGAATACTAATGAGGATAGCATATATACATTTTTTTCTTAAATGGGGAAGAAAATTAAAAAGCCTCAGAGAAAAAGATTGGAACACCTAAGTTTGTCTATATAATGCTACATATAGGAACAGTTAAAAGATAAGCAATAAATTAAAAGTACATCTGTATCAGTAAAATACTTAATTTTTTGAAAGTGTCCCATTAACTCATAGGAAAGAAAAATAACAGTAGAAAAATTTAGGGAGTACATAAACAGGATTTCTCAGTTAAAAATGCTATTGACCAATAAGAAAATATAAATGCTATCCTCATTAGGAGGAGACTTTTGATCGGCCAGCCTGAAGCAGCCATATAAGACTGAGATTAAGGGATCAGTCAGGAGCAGTGGCACATGTCTGTAATCCCAGTGACTCAGAAGGCTGAAGCAAGAGGATCTCAAGTTTGAAGCCAGCCTCAGCAATTTAGCAAGACCCTAAGCAATGTAGCAAAACCCTGTCCCTAAAATAAAGGGCTGGAGATATTGCTCAGTGGTAAAGCACCCCTGGGTTCTTAAAAAAAAAAAAAAAAATTAAGGGATCAAAAGTTTCGAGGGAAAAATGAGAGAAATCTGGGGGTGAAGGGAGAGATACTAAGTATCAAAGGAAGTGCCCATAAACTGTAGAAATGCAGGAAGCACCCAGAACAATTGCAATTCCTTAATGACATCCCCTTGGCTAGCATCCTTGAACCCTGCCCTTGTAACATAAGGGCAGTGCACAAGCACAGGGAAAACTGGTGAGAAATTCTGCAGCTCCACTAGACACTATGGTGCATGCCTGTAGGCTCGGGAGGCTGAGGCAGGAGGATCCTAAGTTCAAAGCCAGCCTAAGCAACTTAGGCTCTAAGCAACTTAGTGAGACTCTGTCTCTAAATAAAATATAAAAAGGGCTGGGGATGTGGGGATTGAACCGAGGGACACTTATCCCAGCCACATCCCCAGCCCTTTTTATTTTTTGAGTCAGTATCTTGCTAAATTGCTTAGGACCTCACTAAGTTGCTGAGGCTGGCTTTGAACTTTCGCTCCTCCTGCCTCAGCCTCCCAAATTACTGGGATTACAGATATGCAACACGCCCAGTAAAAAAAGAAAAGATTTTTTAAAATAAAAATTTAGGTCAGGCATGGTGGCATGCACTAGTAGTCCTAGTACTCAGTAAGCTGAAGTAGGAGAATCCCTTGAGCCCAGGAGTTAGAGACTAGCCTGGGCAACATAGCAAGACCCTGTTTCAAAACTAAACAAAAGGCAAAAATTGCATATTTATTTTGAACCCAATTCATTCAAGCAGCTTCACAAAATGCTTTTCATCAGATACAGACCAGTGGCAGTGTCAAGAGATATATGGTATGAGTGAGGGAATGACTTTAGCTTCCATAAGTAACATCAGTTTGTTTCCTATAAAGCTTCACCAAAAAACTTAATTTCCGTTACAAGTCACAGAAATTCTGGCATTCCAGGAATGGAGACAGTTCCACATAGAACCACAATCCCCATTTCTCTTCTGTATTACGCATTTTCAAAGCCTTCAACAAATACATTTTTATCAGACTTTGTTTTGACCTCTTGCTTATTCTTGGGTTTCAGAACCATGTGTGCTCACTACTGCATCTCCTTTGCTGATGTTGAAAAAGCTCACATCAACATTCGAGATTACATCCATCTCACACCAGTGCTAACAAGCTCTATTTTGAATCAAGTAGCAGGACGCAATCTTTTCTTCAAATGTGAAGTCTTCCAGAAAACTGGATCTTTTAAGGTAAAAGTTTCTTTTGTTAGTGTATTGTGAATGTTTTCAAATCCTCTTATGTGTAAATCTATTTGATTCTCCAGACCATCCAGGGATTTAGGAGGATCACAAGTTTGTGGTTGGCCTCAACGATTTAGTGAGACCCTATCCAAAATATAAAATAAAAGGGGCTGGGGATGTCATTCAGTGGTGAAGTGCCCCTGGGTTCAATCCCCAATACCAAAAAAATAACTTATAACATTTGAAATAACAGGGTGCAAAAATTTTAAGTTCTGATTACCTAGCATCATAGTGTTGATAAGCCACTTAATCTAAAAATCCCTTATAAAAGGATTATATACACATATGGGGGGATATTTGGATAATTATACTATACATAATCATTTATTTATTGTCTAAAATAGGACAAAGGGAGAATTTCTAATGAAAAAAACCAGGACAATGCAGTGACATGTACCTGTAGTCTCAGCTACACTGGGATCTCAGCATGAAGATCATTTGAGCCCAGGAATTCAATGCCAGCCTGGGCAACACAGTGAGACCCCATTTTTCTCTCACTTCCCCCCCCATACTGGGTATTGAATGCAGAACGCCTTGTATTTAATAGACATGTACTCTCCTCTTAGCTTTGTCCAAAACACTTTTTTTTTTCCTTTTTCTTTTTCTTTGAGGTCTGCATAGGATGGCCTGGAACTTAAAATCCTTTTGCCTCAGCCTCCCTCCCTTACCCCAGTAGCTGGGATTACAGGTATTTGCCACCATGTCCAGTGAGATCCTTTTTCTTTTTTAGAAAAAGACAGCCAGGTGTGGTGGCTCTGGAGCCTCAGGGAGGAGGATCGTAAGTTCAAAGCCAGCCTCAGCAATTTAGCAAGGCCCTAAGCAATTCAGTGAGACCCTATCTTTAAATAAAAAATACAAAAAAGGTCTGGAGATGTAGCTCAGTGGTTAAGTGCCCCTGGGTTCAATACCCAGTACCAAAAAAAAAAAAAAAAAAAACCAGCCAGGGCTGGGGTTGTGGCTCAGCAGAGCACTTCCCTAATATATGCGAGGCCCCGAGTTCTATCTTCAGCACCACATAAAAATAAACAAACAAAATAAAGATATTGTGTGCAAATACAACTAAAAAAAATTTTAAAAAACAACAGCCAGGCATGGTGGTGCACACCTGTAATCCCAGTGGCTCAGGAGGCTGAGACAGGAAAATCGCAAGATCAAAGCCAGCCTCAGCAACTCAGAGAAGCCTTGTCTCTTAATAAAATACAAAAAGGGGCTGAGGAGTGGCTCTGTGGTTTAATCTCCAGTACCAACAAAACAAAAAATAAAACAAAACAAAACAAAAAAAACGACAAAAATAGACATCAACCTGGACTATTTCAGGCAAAATGAAGTGTATGTAACCCAGGTTTAAGCATCCATTTTGTGTCAACTTGCTACATAAACACACTGATTGATACCTTTTGAATATAAAAGTTCTAAATCTAGCCAAACACTCCATAATAAAATCTTTTTCTACAAAATGTCAATGCCTTCCCTATGCATAGATATGCTTCTTTGTGTTAACTTACTACCAAAATCTTCTGATCATTAGGTGAGCTTTAAGATCCTTTCAGGGGGTATAGTACCTATTAACTGAAGAGGTGGTTTTGGTTTTTGTACTGGGGATTGAGCACCATGGGTGCTTTATCACTGAGCGGCATGGCATCCTCAGTCCTTTTTATTATTATTATTATTATTTTTAAATACTGAGACAGTATCAAAAATATTGAGATAGGGTCTCACTAATTTGCCCAGGCTGGATTTAAACTTGGCATCTTCCTGCCTCAGCCTCTGAAATAGCTGGAATTACAGGTGTGTACCACTACACCTGACTTAGCACATGTAATTATATACAGTGTGTAATACTTAAAAAGAAACAGCTTACTGATGTATTTACTATACTTTTTTTTTAATATTTGTTTTTTAGTTGTAGGTGGACACAATAACCTTTATTTTATTTTTATATGGTGCCTAGGATGGAACCCAGTGCCTCACATGTGCTAGGCAAGCACTTCTACTGCTGGGCCACAACCCCAGCTCCCTATACTACACTTATTATTGTATTAGAGTATACACCTCTTTTATTTTACTTATGTTTTTGGTGGTGTTGGGTCCTCCTGCATGCTCAGGACATGCTCTACCACTAAACTATGTCTCCAGTCCTGTTTCTACTTAAAAAAAAAAAAAAAAAAGTTGGGGGAACCTGCAGGATGGTGCATGCTTGTAATCCCAGAAATTTGGGAGGATAATAAATTCAAGGCTAATCTCTACAATTTAAGGTTCTAAGCAACTTGTGAGACCCTGTCTCAAAATAAAAAGTGTTAGTGATGTGGTTCAGTGGTAGAGTGCCTCTGTGTTTTTTTTTTTTAAAAAAGGATGGGTTATGGATATACCTCAATGGCAGAGAACCTTTGAGAGTTCAATCATGGGGGGGGGGGGGGTGGGAACCATGTTGAGCTGGGAGGATGGAGTTCAGCTATACAGCATTTTTAAAAAACATTTATTTTTTAGTTGTAGGTTGACAAAATACTTTTTTTTTAAAATGTGGTGCTGAAGATTGAACCCACTGCCTCAAGCATAGTAGGCAAGTGCTCTACCTCGAAGCCACAACCCCAACCCCTATAAAGCATTTATTTTTGAGACCCTAAGTTTGGTCCCAGCACTACCAAAAAAAAAAAAAAAAAAAAAGCTTACAGAATAAGGATGTAAAGAGAAAATATTTTTTTAGAGAGAGAGAATTTTTAATATTTTTTTTCAGTTTTCGGTGGACACCTTTATTTTATGTGGTGCTGAGGATCGAACCCAGTGCTCTGCGCATGCCAGGCGAGCGTGTTACCGCTTGAGCCACATCCCCAGCCCAAGAGAAAATATTTTTGTACAGCTAAATGCACTATGTTTTAAGCTAAGAATTATTATAAGAGTTGAAACGCTAAGCAAATCTAATTAAGTAAAAAAATAATTACACTGTTAGGGTTAGTTTATTATTTTAGAAAAATATCGTTTTAAAGTCAGGCATGATAGCATATGCCTGTAATCATAGCTGCTGGGGAGGCTCAGGCAGAAGAATCCCAAGTTTAATGCCAATTTAGGCAATTTAGCAAGACCTTTCTCAAAATAAAACAAGGGTACTGCTAGGTTCTATCCCTAGTACTTAAAAAAAAAAAAAAAGAAAGAAAGAAACTGTTAATAAATTTAGTGTAGCTTGAGTGTTTACTCTTCAGTAGTGTACAAGGTCTTATATATTGTCCTATACAGGTATATATATCATTTTTTATTTATTTATTTTTTTTTTTTGGAGGGGGGCCCTGGGGATTCAACCCAGGTGCACTGTATCACTGAGCTATATCCCCAGTCCTTTTCATTTGTTGAGATAGGGTCTTGCTAAATTACTAAGATTGACCTCAAATTTGTGATCCTCTTTCCTCATTCTCGAGTTGCTGTAATTACAGACTTGTACCACCATACCCAGCTACAATTTTTATCTTTTATATTATTTTTACAGTACTTTCCTGTTTCTGTACACAAATACTTACCATTGTGTTACAATTACCTATAGTATTCAGTTTAGTACAGTAATATGCTGTACAGGTTTGTAGCTTAGGAGCAATAGGGTATACCACACTTCCTAGGTTACATAGTAGGCTCTATGATGTTTGCACAATGAAATTGCCTGAGAATGCACTTCTCAAACTTGTTCCCATCAGGGAACAAGTAAGGGATGCATGACCATACATTAATTCACCATCCCTCTTTTCCAGATTCGTGGGGCACTTAATGCCATCAGAGGCTTAATTCCTGCCACCTTAGAAGGGAAGCCCAAAGCTGTTGTTACTCACAGCAGTGGAAATCATGGCCAGGCTCTCACTTACGCTGCTAAACTGGAAGGTACTTGATAACTTCTCAAGGTAGTCATCAGATTGAGTGGAAAAGTGTCCTTAATTTTCATTCAGAATGGTGATAGCTATGGGGTCAATTTCCAAAGGAGTCTCTGATTACAAGCAAAATGAACAAAAGTTTCTATCCAAAATTCTCCTGACTTGTGCTCACATGTTTTTCCTCTCCCAGGGATTCCTGCTTATATTGTGGTACCCCACACAGCTCCCAACTGTAAAAAACTGGCAATACAAGCCTATGGAGCCTCTATAGTTTACAGTGAACCGAGCGACGAGGTAAAGAAAGCAGTGTTCAGCACCACCTAAACAGCTTCATTTGACCAACCACTCTTCCTACTATACTGGATGCTCCTTCTCAGTCTTGTTTCCTCTTCACCTCTGTTAGCACACCCAAACTTTTCTCTATCTATACTCATTTGTATCACTTTAAATTTTCACCTCTACTCCAATACCTCCAGACTTGTATACCCAACAGCTACCCAACTTTCTCACTTGAATATCTTAAAGCTACTCAAACATCTCAAAAGTTACTGTTTCTCCACCTTACCTCCCCAATACTAGGGATTGAATTCAAGTGCACTCTACCACTGAGTCTCATTTCCAGCCCTTTCTTTATTTTTGAGACAGAGTCTCACCATGTTGCTGAGGCTGGAACTTTTGCTCCTCCTCCTTCAAAATCACTAGGAGTAAACCAAGCCCATCTATAAAGTAACTGTATCTAAAACAAAACTCCTCATCTTACTCCCCAAATTGTTCCCCTTTGTCTTCATCTTGGTAAATGGCAATTTATCCTTTTAGTTGCTAGAGGAAATCAACACTATTACACCCCACATCCAATTCTGTCCTTTCAAAGTGTTTTCACAATCCAACTAGTAACAAGCCTCCATTAACCATCCTTATTCAGATCATTACCTACATTCAGTAGCCTAACTGGACTCTGCTTCCAGTCTTGCTTCCTGTAGCAAGAACAACAGAACTTCCATTTATTTAGAATTTCTCAAATCTTCCCATGGTTTCCCACTTCATACAATGGAAATCAGATTTTGCTTTTATTTTGGGGCTGGAGATTGAATCCAGGTCCTGGCCCCATGCTAAGCACTAAGCATATACTCTGAGCTACAAACCCCCAACCAAAGTTCTTATAATCATTTTCAGCCTAGATGAACTAGCCCTTTGTTCTGAGGGGGTAAGGGGGTAACCAGGGATTGACTCCAGCCCATTTGAGATGGGGGTCTCACTAATTTGCTTAGGGCTTCACTAAAAAGCTGAGGCTAGCTTTAAACTTGAAATCCTCCTGCCTCAGCCTCCAGAGTGGCTAGAATTATAGGCCATGCCACAGCACCTGACCCATTGCTATTTTGTTGAGGGGAGGGTGTGGGAGGGGTACCAGGGATTGAACTTAGGGCTCTCACCCCTAAGCCACATCCCCAACCCTATTTTGTATTTTAGAGTTTCACTGAGTTGCTTTAGTGCCTCACTGTTGCTGAGGCTGCCTTTGAACTCATGATACTCCTGCCTCAGCCTCCCGAGTTGCTAGGATTAGGTGTATACCACCACACCCAACTCCATTGCTGTTTTTCTTGGGTCATCTTATCTTATGCCAATCACACTAACTTCTTAGCATTTCCTTAGAAAGACCACTACCCATTTTGGACTCTCTGACCCTATTACCACCTCTTTAAAATATTCTAGAGATCTACTGCACTTGTATAATTTGTCACTTTATCGTAGATGTTTCCTGAGCAGTCTTTGTAAGATAAAATTTGTTTTTCTCCATAGTACTTAGACATACATATATTCACTTATATCCCACCCCTATCCTAAAGATATAACTTCTTGAGGGCAGGATTTTTGTTCACCGCTTTACTTATCCCCAGGGACTAAACAAAGTCTGGGAAAAAGTAAGTAGTCAATAGCATTAAAATGACTGAAACTTCTTGGGAACTTTATTAAATGCCTAACTTAGAAAGCTAAATTAATGTACTCTTTTAGTCCAGAGAAAAGGTTACAAAAAAAATTTTGGAAGAAACAGAAGGCATCATGGTACATCCCAACCAGGAGCCTGCGGTGATAGCTGGGCAAGGCACAATTGCCTTAGAAGTGCTGAGTCAGGTAAAACAGCCTAGTTACTTCTTCATATTTTACTGGTGACACTGTTTTGACATACAAAACCGCTCATTAATTGGCCTACTTGTACTTTGTTTTTACAAAAGGTTCCCTTGGTGGATGCACTAGTGGTTCCTGTAGGGGGAGGAGGAATGGTTGCTGGAATAGCAATTACTGTTAAGGTGAGAAGACACCTTCTGGAAGACTTCCTGCCTTAGGCAAAAAGGACTTTAGATACCTAATTCAACATTATCCCCAAATGGCCATTCCTAGAGATGGAAAGCCTTTCCCTGACTTACTACCCTCTTCATGTATGACAAATTTACAGCATAAAAGCACCTTACAGTCCTTTCCCTGGATCCATCTCCATTATTATTCACACCAGGTACTACCTTTCCCAAAATGACCAAAACCAATTGTGATCCAGGCATCTAAAACCCAGTATTAGACATACAATTTATTTATAAAGTGCTTGAAGGTCATGTTTTCATTACATCCATCAAAAGGAAGACTCTTACACAGCCAGAAATGCCCTTTTTCCCCTATTCTGCATACTTTATTTTAAGCATGTAGGTAATGCTGTAGTTAGTTGTAAGATGTCTAATATTCCTCTTCCAGGCTCTGAAACCTAGCGTGAAGGTATATGCTGCTGAACCCTTGAATGCAGATGATTGCTACAAGTCCAAACTGAAAGGGGAGCTGACCCCCAATCCTTATCCTCCAGAAACTATAGCAGATGGTGTCAAATCCAGCATTGGCTTAAACACCTGGCCTATTATAAGGGACCTTGTGGATGATGTCTTCACTGTCACAGAGGATGAAATCAAGGTAAGGCTCCAAGAGGAAAAAACCTATAATAGTACAACTTTAATTAAGCAAGACAACCTTCTCCTACTCGGAGTAACCACAGGGTGATTTCATGACCTATGGGAGGGTACCCAAGCTGTATTAGGACAAACCTCTGAGGCAAGCAGAGATAAGATGAAAGTTGTGTTCTCCACTGGCAAACACACATGCATTAGCAACGAGAAAATTCAGACTGGGCATATATCTTCATTTGGCCTATAGAATTAAACCTTTCCCCTTCTCCTGTTTTGCTAATCCTTACTCACTTCTATACCAACAGTATGCAACCCAACTGGTTTGGGAAAGGATGAAACTACTCATTGAACCTACAGCTGGTGTTGGAGTGGCTGCTGTGCTGTCTCGGAATTTTCAAGCAGTTTCTCCAGAAGTAAAGAACATTTGTATTGTTCTCAGTGGTGGAAATGTAGACTTAACCTCCTTAAGTTGGGTGAAGCACGCTGAAAGGCCAGCTCCTTATCAGTCTGTTTCTGTTTAATTTATATAAAACAAAGAGATGGGCTTCAGTGTCTCTCTAGATACATGAAATTTTTGTTTTTCATGTTCCCCTCAGGCAGGGCAGCTCAGTGGCAGAGCACTTGCCTGGTATGTGCAAGGACCCAAGTTTGATCCCCAACACCAAAACATCTTCTTGTAAAGTTTTCAAAGTCCTAATGGAGTACAGATATTTCAGTATATTTAATAATTTTCTTAGACTAAGTAGAAAAACTTCCATACTGAGCCAAGATCTTTTGTAAACAGGACAGCATACTGATGGACTAAAGTATAAACTACGAACTGCTCAGTCACAACCTGTAGGCCCATCTTTATAGTGCTAATTATTAACAATAAGACAGAATCCTATTGAATCCATTACTCCATGTCCAATTCAGGCACTGTTGAAGAAATCTCACTTTTCACCCAAGGTACTGGTTCTGGTACATATGGATCGTAAGTCCATTTAGGGAAAACTCGTTTATAAAGATTCATCAGTACTGTGTCCTGAGATTTTAGCTTCCCATCAAAACTGCATTTCATATGGCCATGGGTACCTAGAAACAAATATAACAAAATTGGTCAAATTAAAAAAAAAAAAATTAAAGTAGTAAACTTCCAACACAATAGCTATTTAATAGCATAGAGGAAATCTATATAAAATCCCAAATTCCACATTTTCTTACCTAAAGGCTCCCTGATGTGTCCTCTACGGCCCCACTTTGTTCTCAGTTCCACTGGTTTAAACCATAGCACATCCTCTTAGAATGGAGCATACAAAAGACCAAAATGAAACATTTACTCATAATGTAAACACAACCCTCACACCATAAAAGCAATCAGATCCCATCCTTTTCCTTTGTACCTACCTCTATTAAAGAACATATAACGTACTACTGCCATCTTAGTGAAAATTTTGAAAGGATGACCACTCAGAACAACTCTCTTGATGACCATTCTATCTGGATCCACTGACAACAGATGGCCTGTGGCAACAAGGCTGTGCATTCCTAAAGGAGAAAAGGAAAACAACTATTCAGGAGTTTTCAGGCCAAAGCCTTCCTTTATTGCTCTGTTCACTTAAGAGAACGATGCAATATTTTCTTGGAGAAACTACAGTAGGAAAGCACAATGCTATCCTGGTCCACAGTAAACCACTAAATGCTATTCCTGCTAAGCCTGTCCCCTAAACATAGCACTCTAAGTAGCCCCTAGTGATTAGCTAAGGTCTACACAGCAAGATAAAACCCAGTTTACCATCCCACAGTGGCTTCAACTCACTGTGAGAGAAAGACTGGTATATCACTATCTTCTCTATTTGCCTTCCAAATCAAAACACAGAATCGAGAACAGTGATAATCCTATTAAGGACCTGTAAGCCTGTTCACCTCTGTGAACTCAACTTACCGTTGCTTTTCTGCTTGAAAAGCAGCACAGATGCAGGAGGAAAAGTAATTGGTGCATATACCGTCACCACCAAGGCCGCATCAGCAGTCAAGAATCTCTGAAGTTTATGTTTATCTGCTGCCAAAATAAAGGATAAAAAAGAAAAGCCGAAACATTTTGAGGTAATCCAGAGGCCTATGAAAAGCATGTGAGGCAAGCACTCTAGCAACTGAGCTATATTATATTCACAGTCTCAGCTTATGTTTCTTTACCCCAAGAAATTTTTCCTGTAAACACAATTGATATATTTAACCCAGTCCTACCCATGATTTTTCTTTTTTTTTTTTTAAATATTTATTTTTAAGTGTAGATGGACACAACACAATGCCTTTTATTTTTAGGTGGTGCTGAGGATCAAACCCAGGTCCTGCCCGTGCTAGGTGAGCACTCTAAGCCACAATCCCAGCCCCTACCCATGATTTTTTAACTGAAGACAAAATCTTAGAGCTTAGCATGGTCTCACACACCTGTAATCACAGCTACTAGGGAAGCTGAGGCAGGAGGATGACAAGTTCAAGGCTGTGGGCAATTAGTGAGACCCTGTCTCAAAATAAAATAATTAAAAGGGCTGGGAATGTAGCTCAGTTATAAAAGTACCCCTAGGCCCAAGCCCTACTAAAGCTTTTAAGAAAAAAAAGTTCTCCAGGTGAATTCTACTGCTCAACACCCCTACCTCATATGAGAATCAGTGCTTTATTGAGACTCCTAGATCCATCAGCTCTTAGTCTTGCACAGGGACTGGCAAACTTTTTTTTTTTTTTTAACCCAGGCACAGTGGCGCATGCATGTATTCCCAGTGGCTCAGGAGGCTGAGGCAGGAGGATCTCAAGTTCAAAGCCAGCCTCAGCAATGGCGAAAGCACTAAATGACTCAGTAAGACCCTGTCTCTAAATAAAATACAAAATAGGGCTGGGGATGTGGTTCAGAGGTTAGTGCCCGCGTTCAATCCCTGGTACAAAAAAAAAAAAAGCTTTTTTGTGTGTGGCCATACAGTTTCTGTTCCAACTACTCAACTCTGCCATTTTAACACAAAAGCAGACAAAAATCATACATTTGGAGATTTATTTTAAAGCATGACCATGTTCCAATAAAAGTCTGTTTACAAAAACAAGCAGTGGGGCACATTTGACCCAAAGGCCATGGTTTGTTGACATCTGATTTTAATACTAAAGGAAGATAAAATATTTTAAGGGAAAGAAATTATTTTAGATAACACAGTTGGCTAAATAAAAACCATGCAGAGCACATTAGTGGCTGCATTCATCTCTTCCTCCTATCATTGCTGAAATCTCAGTTAAGGTATGTTCATAAGCCCCCAGGTTAGTGGGCAATACACCTGGCTAGTCCTGAAGTGTAGGAATACAATGATTATTCCCACCAAAAGGATTCCTGGTCACCATCCTCCAAACTCTGTCATCTGGTCTTTACACCTCAAAACCCACACTTTTCTTCTTTATCCAATTGTAGGCTACACCCAGCCTCCATCCCTTCACCCACATTGACACTGGCATATCAGATACCAAGATTTCCATGCCATGACACACCCTTTTCATAAAGCTGCCAACTCTGATTCAAATCCTATTCTAGAATAAATACTCATGGCAGAGAAGCCTCAGCAGCACACAGAAGTTACATCAATGAGATGTTTCAGACAGGTTCAGACATTTTGAATAAGAACATCATTGGCTCCTAAGCCAGAGTACTGAAAATACCTCTAATACTAGCTATTCTGCACCCAGCGCCCATCAGCAAAAAGTTACGGATTCCTAGAAGTCAGTAAGATGGACTAGAACCCAGAAATTTTCCCACTGCTAACCTGCAGTATGCTGAGAAAATAAAGGTGAGGCTCGGAAACGCCTGAATCCACAGTGGAAAATCAACTCTTCTTTGGCCTTTACAGGTTCAGTATTGCCAGGATTCCGGCTTACCACCATGTTCAACACTGACATCTGAGAACCAATAAGAAAAAAAGCTTCATAGTCTAGGAATAAAACAGCCTAACCTGAAAGGCAGCAAACTAAATGAACATCAGCCACACAATAGAACTGACAATGCTAATTCATAGCAAATTATAGAGATGATGGGACACAGGTGTATCCTTTATGTCCATTAACAACTGGCACTAGAACTGAAGATAGGCTTGACCAGAGTTTTCATGCATCCTTCTATGCTAGCTTATCTTCCCAGATCTAATATTAAAAAGCTTACCATATGCCACAAATACTAGTGGTCCTCAAGTCATTTACTTGCCACATCCCTTCAAAATCACTCATTAGACTTCTCTTCCTCAACCTGTACTCACACTAACCAAAAGTCAAGAGCTATCAATCACATAACCCCCAAAGTGACAACTAATGGCTACCTAGAGAAGAGTTTGCACTTTGACATAAAACTTCATTTTTAAGATTGCCAGTCCTTTGTTCAAAATCTGACCTCAAAAACATACTTAGAGAAGTCTCAGAACCACACAAAGATTACATCACTGAGATGCTTCAGACAGGTTCAGACATTTTGGGTAAAACCATCATTGACTTCTCCATTGTTTTCTGAGTCCTAAAGTCAAAAGGTAAAATCCTCATATCCCATTGAACAATGTCATGAATGGGTTAAAAAAGTCTCTTAACTCTCCATTTCCCAAAAGACACTAATTTACCTTCTGTTCATGAGGTAGCAAAGAAAATGCAATCAAAGGGGCTCCTTTCCTGAAGTATTCAACTACTGAAAAAGGGACTTCAGAGACATGAAGTGTGACATACCAGCCAACCTGCCAAAAGGAAGCAGAAAACAACCACAAGGTTATCCTTAGAAACATTTTTCCAGGACTGGGAATGTGGTTCAGTAGTAGAGCTTTTGCTTAGGATGTCCCAGGCCCTGAGTTCAATCCCAGCACCAAAATATAATACAACAAGAAATATTTCTCTAAATGTGTGCAAAGTCTCTCAGACTAACCTAAAACCTACACTTATCTTCTGCCTTTCACAGATGCCTCTACTACCCAGATTGAATTTTCTTTTTTTTTGGTACCAGCAATTAAATCCAGGGAAACTTAACCACTGAGCCACATCCCTAGCCCTTTTTTTATGTTAGAGACAAGCCCTCGCGGATTTGCTTAGGCCCTCGATAAGTTGCTGAGGCTGGCTTTGAACTGGCGATCCTCCTGCCTCAGCCTCCCCAGCTGCTGGGATTACAGATGTACACCACCACACCTGGCCCATATTCAACTTTTTTATTTAATGTCTCTGATATCAGTGACTCAATGGCTCCCCTAATTCAGCTATAGGCAGCATAAAACTACATTAAATAGTCATGCTCATGCCAAGAAAGAGTAAAGCAGGCAACATGGTGGCAATCAAAAGCAAATTATAGTCAGGCATAGCAGCACATGCCTATAATCCCAATGGCTAGGAAAGCTAAGACAGGAGGATCACATGTTTGAGGCCAGCCTCAGCAACTTAGTGAACTACTTAACAAGACCCTGTCTCAAAAAAAATAAAAAGGTTTAGGGATATAGCTCAGGGATAAAGCACCCCTTGATTCAATCCCCAGTACCACCCTCTCCCCACCAAAGGCAAATAATGGAGTGGACAATGGACAGATACCTCAGCTCCTTCGTCCTCTTTTTCCTCAATCTCTTTAAAGATTCTTTTCCTAGTATTGGTAAAGTTCTGAAACTGAAAGATCCGAGCATAATCTCGAGGAAGATTTTCCTTAGGATCCCATGGAGATGTCCGGAAGCTCTTAAGGCCTCTGTACTTCTGAAATCTAAAATATAGGAAAATTCAGAGAAATTAACAGACTATATGGTGCTATATAAGACATGACTTTGATAACAGCTAAGGCTCTATTTTTAAAAACTCTAATCACTCTCTCTCTCAAAATAACCTAATAACTTAAACCAAGACGACATTTTTAAAACAGTTTTTTAAAAATGTATTTATTTTTTAGTTATACTTGGACACAATACCATTATTTTACTAATTTATTTTTATATGGTGCTGAGGATTGAACTCAGGGCCTTGCCCTAGCTAGGTGAGCACTCTACCACTGAGACACAACCCCAGCCCCTTAATTCAGTTTTTAACAACTATTTCAGAAGTATATCCAGACTTCTCACTAAGGATAAAGTATTTACAGATCTCTGGTAATAGTCTTAGCACTCTAGTAGCCAACATACACTCTCTGGCTTTAGTGAACTCACTTCCAGAGCAGGCACTATTGTCTATTGCTTCATGCTTTTACTTTTGTTGCCCTCCCAAAGTTCCCCTAAAATCTCCAAACATTCTGTACATATTAGTTCCAACAGAGTATTTGTTAATTAACCTTGTTATTTCTCCTTTATTAAAGTCCTGTAACATTAGTTGTACCATAGTCTAAAACTTTATTATATACGACTATTTCCCATGAGTGTTGACTACCCACATAGAATGTTGGCCCTTAACGAACAGGGAACAATGTCTTTTTCTTCTTTTGCATCACAGTGACATAATTCTGAGATATATTTTTTAAATAAAAACTTATTGTTGAATTTAGACTTGCGGACTAACCGAATTTTAGCAGCCACATCACGGGGGGTGTCCATTTCATCTGGAAACATTTCTTCCATCCTTTCTTGTTTATATTTCTCTAACGTTTTTTCCTCAGCCTCCTCATCCATTTTCTCATCATAAAGGTCATCACGTACAGAGTCCCCTATAGTCATAGTTTCACATTCCTCCTCCTCCTCCTCTTCTTCACTTTTTTCATCCTATAAAATAAAGGATTACAACTGGGTGTGGATGCATGCCTATAATCCCAGCAGCTTGGGATGCTGAGGCAGGAGGATCACAAGTTCACAGCCAGCCTCAATAAAATACAAAATAGGGCTGGGATATGGCTCAGTGGTTGAGTGCCCCTGAGCTCAATCCCTGGTACCCCCCCAAAAAGAATTAGTTATTTCAAAAGAAAGTCCCCCATCTCTACCCCATAGGCCATTAAGCTAAAAATAATTTTACTAGAACCTAGTCCCAACTAACATAAATGCTAATAAAAGATTAAAATAGGGGCTGGGGTTGTGTGTGGCTCAGCGGGAGAGCACTCGCCTAGTATATGTGAGGCCCTGGATATGATCCTCAGCATCACATAAAAATAAATAAATAAAATAGAGGTACTGTGTCCAACTGTAACTAAAAAATAAAATATTTTTTTAAAAAGATTAAAATATAAAACAAGTTTCATTCCCAGAAACTACTATACACACCCCTCAAGATCAGGATTGCACTCTGCCTATTTGGAGTTGTATACAAAAATGGCCCCAGGGCAAATTTCCCTACCTGAGATTCCTCTTCCATAAAATCCTGTTCTGTGTCATCATCTTCATCTCTTTCCCCTCCACTTTCACCACCTTCATCCAAAATCCATTCAGCTTGGTAACTGGACGTTCCTTTGGGGACCTTCTTTACCACCTTAGAACCTTCCTTCAAATAATCTGTAAAAATCCAAACAAGTTATACACCTCCATTCCCTTATCACTCTGGATAGTCTCACCTATATAGGATGATACTGCTGCCAACATGGGAAACTAGCAGACACCATGAGTAGAAAAGATTACTTAAAATTTAATTCAGCTCCCTCACAATTAGCAATACTTCCAAAGCTAAATAAACCTGGCAATAGATCTTAAGTTGTTTGTGTTTATTATAATACAATAACAAGTTAGTTTCAAAACGGAGCAAAGGTGTGCCCAATGTTTGCCTAGTACAATTATATAGCATTTGGGGGAAAGAAGAGGTGACACAACTTCAACTATATCTTCATCCAACTCTACTCTATAGGGTGTGACCAGCTACCCTGTGAGCAACTAGTCAAAATTCACAATTCCGGGTCAGATAAATAACAAGATTGCTACTACCAACCTTTTGCCTCACTCAGCTCCTCCTCAGTGGGCCAGGTTTGCTCCCCTTCCATTGGATCTGGAATAACTTCTGTTTGCAAAGACTCTTGTCTATCAGGGTCTGCCTTCATTAGGACCTTAAGATCTTCTTCCATGTCAGATGCAACATCTGAAGCACAAACCTTGAAAACCAAAAGCAGGTGATAGCCAAACATTAAGCAAAATCTTACTACAGCCAACTCTGACCATAAAACCCAGAAGAATCAGCTCTCATGAAGAATGAATGAAACAAAGTCAAAAGCTGTCACAATTTTTCAAATGGTCATTTAGCTCTGTACCCCTGCTTGAGTCTTCAGGCCTTTCATAATCTGGTCTTATTCCTAACCACATCCCTCACTTCCATCAGGTTGCTGTCTTCATAATTCAAAGAAACCTTATGCTTCATCACTGTGCTTAGGTTCATGTTGTATCTATCTTCTAATATTCTTTTTTAAATTTTTGAAATATAGATATTTTTAATTGTAGATGGACAGCATGCCTTTGTTTATTTTACGTGGTGCTGAGGATTGAACCTAGCATCTCACACATGCTAGGCAAGCGCTCTGCCACTAAGCCACAACCCCAGCCCCTCCCAACATTCTTTTACCTCTGCTCAACTCAAAATCACAATACTCAACACCTAGCTAAAATCTGATCTCTGTGAAGCTTGCTAATCTACCTTTTCAACTAATACAGCAGGTCCATATCTTACCATATCCAATTTTTTTTATTTCAAAGATGTTTGACATTTTCTTCTAATTTAACTAAGTTCTCTGACCATATCTCTTATAATCTCAGAGCCAACTGCAATGCGAAGTATCTAGAAAATGCTGCACTAATGATTTATCAACATATTTGTAGTTGACTGTTACTTGCCTTCAAACTAAGTGTCTCCTCATTGGCCTAAGTATGCAGACTACTTTCTCTCAATTTAAATTTTTCCATTCTGTTTCAACTTACATATTAATCTACAATGCATGCTTCTAAAAATAAATAAATAAATGAATAAAGATCAATTCTGAGGTAAGGTTCAGTGGTGACCACCTATAGTACCAGCTACTCAGGAGGCTGATGTATGAAAATGGCTTGAGCCCAGAAGTTCAACATAGCAAGACCCCATCCCCAAAAAACAAACAAAATCCATCAATCTTACCTCCATTGCCATGCCTGAGTCCTTTTGGGATTTTATCACTTTAGGGTTTAAAGGAAAAGGATCGATGGGGGCATCTATCTGTTTCATTTGGAAATCACCATGTCCAACAATATGTAGCAAGCTATTTACATTCAGAGTCTGCCCACGAACATAGCCTGAGATTTTCAAGGTGCCCACCAACTTATTCTCTTCACTAGGTACAAAATCAGCAGCATGGGTAAACAGATAGGCTCGCCGATCTCTAAAAGCAAGATGCCTTCGCTTTTGGTTAGCCAACTGCCTAAGCAGTGTTGCTGCTTCCTGTTGAGTGTCTAACAGGAGGAGTCTGTCATCAGGAAATCGCTTCTCTACTGCTTTGCTTAGCTTCTTTCTGGCATCTATTTGTTTTTTCAGAGGGATACCAGAAAATCCCTGGACAGCAAGTGCTGTAAGCAAAAGAGAAGGATCTTTATAATTTATCCCTTCACTATATAAAAACCCCCTGTAGCTTACAAACAACCTAACAATTGTATTGAGATCACTCAACTACCCTAAAGAAATGTCAATGAGGCTGGGCGCAGAGGTGCACGCACGCCTATAATCCCAGTGACTTGGGAGGCTGAGACAGGATAATTGTGAGTTCAAAGCTAGCCTCAGCAACTGCAAAGCACTAAGCAACTCAATGAGACCCTGTCTCTAATAAAATCCAAATAATAGGGCTGAGAATTGGCTCAGTAGTTGAGCGCCCCCTGAATTCAATCCCCGGTACCAAAAAAAAAAAGTCAGTGAAACCAAATTTCACAATCTTCTTCCTCTCAACAGGACAGCCCAGATATTAAAAAAAAAAAAAAAAAAAGAAAAAAACCCAAACCCTTAATTGGTAATTTGTAAATAAATGACCAAGATTAATTTGTACATGTATATTGCATTACCAGCTTAATACAGTCCATCAGTTATATTCAGCAATCAAATGCCAAGCACAATATCTGGAAAACCGTAAAAAATGTTAATTCATGGGGCTGGGGTTGTAGCTTAGGGTAGAGCACCTTGCCTAGCACCTGGGAGGTACTGGGTTCAATCCTCAGCACTACATAAAAATAAATATAATAAAGGTATTGTGTCCATCTACCAAAAAAAAAAAAGCTAATTCACTTCCTTCCCTGGCCTCTAATACTCCCAACTTACTTACTATAGGTGGGAAGACCCTGAGCAAAGAGGCAGGAAAGGCAGTAATCCCCAGTGCTGTCCCAGCCTTCTTGTGGATCAAGGAGGAACAGGATGGTATCAGCCACTTTAGCCATATCTAATACACTGTGAAGATCTCCTAAAAATAAAAACACAATAAGAGTAGTAGTTGACATGAGCATATAACCTCATTAACATTACTGCAAACATAAAGACGGAAAAATATTGTATATGCTAACCTGGCCTTGCAGATGTGAAAAACCACCGATGTTTCAAACGGGGGCACAGCAGCATAAAGCTATAGGTGCTTCCCCATTCATTTAAGTGCACTGTTCCCATGTCCCTATCCTGAAGAAGGCGAAAGGCCTCAGACAGGGAAATTCTGTTATGCAAAGCCACCACCAGCACCTGATGAGGAGGCCCATCCTTGCTGCCCAGCTGTCTCTTCTCTGCCAGAACCTGAAAAACAAAATCAGAGAACATCTCTGAACCATGCTCCAGTACTGCATTTCCAACAGTGCAGATGCTCCTTGCCCTAACTAGCACCCTTGTTAACCACCACATGCATTGGGGCGGGTGGGGGTCGGGTAAGGAGCGCGAAATAAAGCAGAGAATGCTCTAGCGAGAATCAACACTTGTAGTTAAGCCAGACATGCGCTCTAGGATTATATTTCAGTTCTTTCCTGGCCACATTTTCTAGCACGAAGAATTACCCGTCTAAAACGGTAGAGAAACCGCACCATTCCTCAACCCCCACTCCTCTCACCGCCTCCTTCTTCTGCTTTCGGAGCTGGTTGGCGCGATGTCTCTGGTCTACTCTGCTGAGCTCTTTTCTCACCTTCTTGCACAAGATTTTCAGTTCTACACGACCTGGAAAACAGATGAAAAAGGGGCTACAGGGATCGACACCATAAGTTGTTCAACCAAGAGCCCCACTGGCCACCTCAGAGTCTTTCGCGTGGGTCCCAGACCCGAGACCAGCTGTCGAGGCACAGAGAAAAGCAACTATGTCAGTTAAACAGCCCTTCCTACACTATCTTCTCACCCTTTCCGTCCCGTTGTGCGGATCCTCGACCCCGATGCCGCCCGCCTTTATGAGCTTTATTCTGCTGCTTGAGCGGGCCGGAACGGTGAGCCGCCATGCCGAAGTTCACGTGCGCGGAGTCAGCAATACTTCCTGCCCAGGCCGAGCGCTTCCGGTTCACTTCGCGGGGGTGGGGTTCCCGCTCCCTCTCGCGAGGTCTTTCCCACCTGCGGGTGTAGCACTCTGTGCCAAAGACTCTGCGGCGGTGGGAACTTTTCCC